AGGAATCGGCGACGAGCCAATCTGCGTGACACGGTCACGCCACTTGGCCCCCTCAAAAGTGTACACAAATTTTACGTTGTAAAAGAAGAAATCGACGCGGCGCGTCGAGTACGAACAATCTAGCTCGTAATCTAACATCGCGGCATACAAAATCGCGGGCGAGTCCCTTTGTGCGCGGAATGACGGAACACGAAGAAGACGCGCGTTAATATATACCACGCATATGGTACATTCACACACACACACACACACACATACACACGCGCGCGCGTGCACGGCCCTCCCTCTCTCACCTTTTTCTCGCTCATTTTCTCTGTACGCTCGCATACAAACTGAATCTCTCCCGTCTTTCTCTCTACCACACACAGCGACTTACAATGTACATGCGTGTTCTCACGACACGCTTCTAGGATATAAGAAAGATCAACCGGTGATCGGTAGCGCAAAGAAACCAAAAGTTAGACATTAGGTTCGCGGGGGGCGGCGAGCGCGATCGTTCCCCTCCTCCCCCCCTTTTTTTTGTGAAAGCACTCGAGGGGAAGAACTTGGCTCGGAGCCGCGAATCGAGAGAGCGCGCGGATGCGGAGTCCTCGTGCGAACTCCCCCACGGAGATAAATCTATCCGCGAAAGGGCACGCGGTCCGGTCCAGGCGCGTTAAGCCCGTATCAGACTGCAGACTCCTGACCAGACCACTGACTCGGACTCTCGACTATGATTCAACCAATCACAGCAAAGCACCGGCTGACCCCGACTGCCGACTCGGGAATAGACGCCACTCCAATTGGTTGAATCACAGTCGGGAGTCCGAGCCAGTAGTCGAGTCAGAGTCGGGAGTCTGTGGTCTGACACGGGCTTCACACTCGTACGACACATTTTTTTAAGCGCGTTGACTGGCTGCGAGCTAAAAGATTTCCAGATACCCGAGAGCCTCTCTATCCCGCAGCCAATCAACGTCCACGACGCTAGAACGTGGTCCAAGTTCTAGTCCCGAGAAATGTGTGGCCAATCAGCTTGCAGCTCTCACGGGAATTGCTGCAAGTTGATCGGACCCACATTTCTCGAAACTTGGACCAATCGTGGACGCAGGCCTTTACAGGTCGCTGCCGGTCCCTCGATTCCGCGCCGCACTCGGGAGACACTGGGCGCTCGGTTCGACGAGTAGAACGAAAAAAAGGGGGGAAAGTGGGGAAAATGCATATGAAGAGGAGAACAGCTAAGAGAAGGGCAGGAATGGCTGCTGGGATGCACGCGGACGCCGTCCCCCGCTTTATCACACGATCCAAGTCCGCGAAGGCTTCCGAGAGAGAAAGAGAGAGAGAGAGAATGTGCTGGGAGCCACTCTCTTTCCTTTTTTTTTCCTTCAAGCTCCTCGTTCGCAGTCGTTTCTCCTTCTCTCCTCGTTTTCGTCGAAGGACACGGATCCTCGGGGACCTCCGGTCGTCCCGAACGGCGGAGCCACGCAGACGTGCGGAACGCGTTCGCGCCCGAGCGAGCGGCGTGACAATGGGAACCCCCCGGCGGGCATGCGGCTCCTCCCCGCATATTTCCTCGGTTCTCGCGCATATGCCTGCACGAGGCAGGTCGTCGTTCCGTTCCACGTACCTTCCTCACGGACCACGCTTCGGGTGGCGCGAGAGGCACCGTAGGAATGCGAGAGCGCGGGGAACGCGCCTCGCGGAAGGCCGAGATTTTTTTTTCCCATTCTCCGCGCCATCGTCGCAGGATGACGTTCGTGACGAGGGGGCTTTATCCGCGGTTGCGTGCGAGCTCCGCTCGTCAAGTGCACGCGTGGATGAGAACGATAACGGTGACGCAGGCCAACAAACTGGTTCCGATCCTCGCGTCACCAGCTCGTCTCGTGAAGAAACAAAAAAACAACAGAAAAACGAAAGAAATACGATTCGTCTTAATTCCTTGATCGATCAATTATCGTAATTGAATATAAACAATTGAGCCGAGCCGCGAGGAGCCGCGGCCAGCTGGGAGCCGTTGTGATTGCAATTAACCGCTCGTGGCAAAAATGATCGGATGACGCGATACTGCCTCGTAGGTGTACGCCGCGCGGAGCAAACTTCACGCTTATCTCAGCCGGAGGTTTCATTCATAAGACTAAAGGAGACTGATTCCTCATCATCGTAAAGCGTCTCGGAGCTCGTTCGCGCCGGTCGAGAGAAATCGCGTTCGGTCGGTAGGGCGCGCCGAATGACGACGTTCTTCGCAAGCTGAGAAAGATATCGCGGCCTAAATAAAATAAAAGAAAGAAAAAAAAAGGAGCAGACTATCGATCGTGAGAATCCAAAATCCGACGATTCGCGTTACTCGCTGCCACGCCACACGAGACACGTAATAATTCACTAAAATCCAATAAATTAAACGGTAAGAGGTGAAGTCGCGAATTCACGCGCGTGGAAATCTGCGCGAGGTAAAAACGGGGGGGTGGGGGTGGGAAACGGATAAACGTGGAAAAGAAAACGAACGAGCGGAATGGGCGGCGCATAAAATCGATGGGAAACTCTCCGCGGGTGAAAGGATCCGAAGACGAGGAGAGGCGAAGAGAGAGAGACGGGCGGCGAACCACGCGCGCTTTGTCTTCACCGCGAACCCGGCGTCGAATGGGAAGCGTGCACTCGCGCGAAGGAGAAACGGCGAGACGTGCTTAAAAAAGAAACAAAGAAACAAAAGATTTCTTTTTCTTGGCCTAACTACCCGAGGCCCAATTGCACCGACGCTAAAAAAACGCGCCGATCGCCTAACTCCCGCCTGACTCTCGCGATCTCGTCTGAGAATTCAGAATTAGAATCGGGAGAGGGGAGAGAAACCGAGACCTAAATTCTACGTCGATAAAAAAAAACGCACGTTAATTGTCTACGGTTACAGTTGTAATTGTCTAATTTAACTACTTAAATTTACCTAGAATTGAAAAAATGAACAAGGCCTTTCGTTGGTCCCGATTCGTCAGGCGAGCGACTTGCCCCGAGATCTCGCTTCTTTATCGACGCCACGAAGCCGCATTCGCGGCGCGCGTTCGCGCTAATTGTTCTTAATCCGGGTTGATCGAATCGACGTCCCCCCCGATTGTTCATCGCGATGGTTCGAATCCAAGGAGCAATTTAAAGAGCATAAATCTGATAAATTCGATCCTCCGGTTCTCGTCTCGTATAAAAAGTGTAGAAAGGATAGCGCGCAGCTGGAGCCACAGACCGGATATACTCGTCGGTGCAATTCAGCCCGAAAAAACGCCTACAATCGTTCCAACCCTCGCTTCGCACCCGCGATAACCGGTACAACTGTCTCCCTCTCCCCTTTCCGTCTCTGGAGAGACGCTCCTACACACAGAAAAATATTATTTTACAGTCAAGAAAAGTAATTACTCAGTTTATTTTATTCCGTTTAAGGGGATGCTGGAGTGATTCTGCACTTTTGCACCTTTCTAACCTAAAAACTGTCAGTTCG